AAATGACCTGTGACTATGACACACTATTTTCTTTTCACTTTTGCAATGTATAACTATATTTTACGTGTCCTTTCTGCAGCACTACCAGCTGCTATGTTGGTTGAATTCACTTTTAACACGCCTCTCAAGCAGCGCGGAGACGGTGTGGGTGAAACTTCAATTGCCCGTCTGTGTTAAGCAAGACAGTAAAACATGCAGTTGAAGCACATGTTGAACAAGAAAATATGGTTCGTCTGTTTCCAGAGGTAAGAAAGACTGCTCTGGGCTCCTGGGGTGAGGACAAGTTTAAGAAAAACATCTGCATGGAGGTTTTTTTCTAAGTCTAGAGACTATTTGTGTGTTGGCCAAGTCTGTCTGCAAGTCCTTGATGGAAAAGAAGGCCTAACAGGGAGCAATTACCTTCCTTTGATTCAAATCTTCTAGTTAGCTAGTCTAAAATAGAGTGGAAATTTTTTTTGTGAGCCTTACTCCACTGCAGGATGAAGACAGGGTTTTCCACTGAAAACACTGACAAAAAGCAGCCTTTCTAACCATAAAAGTTTATGGAAAATTCTTTTACCATCTTCATGTAAAAATAGTTATTCTGCTTTCCCTAAGACTTCAGATCATTCCCTTCTTTCCTCTGTTTCTTTATTATTATTTTTTCCAGTGGACATAAAGTAGTTAGCAGCAAAGGATAATAATAGGCTTTCTCATTTCTTGCAGAAAGAAAAGCCTCTGGAAAATACAAGATATAAAAATGAAACTTGCCCTGGACTTGTGCTAGAAATTCAAACATAGTGATGCAGAGCAAATGCAAGATCATCAAGAAATACAAGGGTCTACATAATTATTTCAGAAGGTGGAACACACTGTTTTAAATTTCACCTATACACATGCACACACAGCTCAACAAGAAGTGTCCATGTAAACACCCAATGAACAATGACCTTTAAATCACTCCAAGTTGCTGCTTCTCTGTGAAGAAATGGATTTCTCCCTCTACTTTTTGGGACTGGTCCCCAGCTGATGACGGGGTATGTTTAAGTTGTTTTTTCAGAAGTCTCTGCATTCTATATTCTGGTCTAAAACTCTCATCACTCACCTCTTACCATGCCATAATGTACCTTTTTTGGGTAGCTGGAGCAATTTTCAAGACCTTGGAGGATCACTATTGGCAAGATTGTTCTCTGCATCTTGATTCTAAAAGTTTTTAACACCAGCTGCTCATCCAGATGGATTTAGGAGCTTTGAAATTCAACTGCTATGCTATTGAGCAGGTTTTGAAACCTTTTTTGGATCACAGTAGCTACAGCTTTCGCTAAGCCTCTGCTTCATCTGTGTTACAGCTGAACAAAGATACTGGGCATTTTCTCTTTTGGGTCACCCACCAATCTGCAAATTCAAAGTGCTATAGGAGAAACACACTCATTAAGCAGGATCCACAGGGCTGATCTTATACAAAGACCTGGTTAGCATTTTGGGGGGCAGACAGCTGCCGCTGGGAACCATCCAGCCCAATACCCACTGGTGCTACACTGAGCTCTCCCTATCCCTGGAGACAGGTGCCCCAGATTCCCTCCACTTCTGTACCCTACTGCTTTTCTTGTTACAGAAGATCCCAGAGACCAAACTTGGCCATGGATTCTCTGAGATAAACTCTTAATTTACTGTCAAAACAGCGATTTTGAAACTGATTTTTCAGTCCACATACAGACAGACACCTATAGCCAGATTTCTTCTTTTATTTCTAAGTTCAGAAACACTGACTAGAAGATCTTCAGTCCTCTCTTTTACCCCTTTAATACTTCACACTTCTCACTACAGCCTTGTTTTCATCCCCCTCAGGCCAGTATATGTCAGTTACCAAGAGGATGCAAAAATGCCAATGAGTGTCTCAGACTGACAATTGCACTTAATTAACTCTCACCCTCCCAGCCACAGAGTAACAATTCAGGAATTCAACAAGGTTGTCTGCAGGTGCCTTAGAGAGAACCAGAAGTGCTATAACACGGCTTTCAAAAGGGTAGTTCAAATAAGCAGCCAAACTAAGCAGAGTCCTGAACCAATTTAAGTTTGCCTTTCTTGCTACTGTTGTGAACTACAATTCTCCACATTTCTGAGGTGCCTTCTACATTAGGATGCATGACAACTTAAGAGACTTTAATTGACTCTGAACACGCCTCTTGTATTATTTCCAGTTCAATGGCTAAGCAAAGCACAGCATAAAACGTGAAGCCATTGTCCAAGTGCATGGCAATAAATTGCTGAAATAGCTCTCTCCATTTTATGAAAAGTACAGCTTCTGTACCTGCCAAAACCTATTGTTGGTTTTGGTATTTTAATTCATAAACAAGTCAAGAGCATTAAAAAAAAAAAAAAAAAAAAGGCAATTTTTTTTAGTGGACTGTCAATAGATACGGGCTGTCTCTTAAAAGGAAGTTGAAGAGAAGGGTAAGCTGGAAACTTTTCCAACTGCATGTCAGCATTTCTCAGAGGTGCTAAGGTAAATCCACCACTTTCCAGAGGTGCCACTTCAAAAGTAGTTAAAAATATGCCCTTAGAAACTACAGGAAATTTAGTGCCTATGAAAAAGGGAGGGGTGGGGGGACTCCACAACCAGCAAGCAACCAACTAAAACTGGGTCCTAAGTCACGACATAAAAAGAGTTCTCCATAGAATTAATTATTTACAACAACATTCCAGACCTGCTGAAATAAGATGACCATTCCCAAAACAGCCTTTGTGGGATATCAACTTACTAAAAATACACAGGATATTTCAGTGAGTGTTTTGTTCATCAAGAAAACTGACAAGCCTAAGGACTTCATGAAAGAGAAATATCCTGGCTTCTTCCTCTGGGGGAAGGGGTGGCTTTTCCTGCACGTTCTTCCTAGAATGTCATGTGTTTATTTCAGGGGTGGCGCTGGTCCATGTTGTGAGCCAATGTTGCAAGGCTGGGAGCTGACCATGCCTCTTCATTTGCAAAGCAATGGCAACTTCCCCTCTCCTTCAATCAAGGCTGGGAAAAGAAAGATGTGTATCCTCTGGAAAAGACATGGTGAATTTGCAGAGTCCACGCAAGATGGGTCTATACCAGGGAACGTAAAGAAACATTTCCAGTAGTACAGCTAGTACCATGACAGTAGCAGTGATGCTACAGAGGCCCTAACTCAGAGAATACTGTCACTGTAGTCAATGCATTGATGTCCTTTGAGCAATCAATCTTGCTGCTGCCAGTGGAACTGCACCAGAATTTGAATTTAAGACTTGAAAATATGCTTAGCAAGGTATACAGTTTTAATTACTCCTTATTTGTCCTATTTCATATCTTATTTGCCTAAAAATATTGTGTTATCTTTAAAAAAAAATTAATGGCAAAACAAACTAATTTCCTTCTTGTCTAAGTCTAACACAGCTTAATGTCTCCGCATTCTAGTTTTTCATTTTCAGTTGTTTCCCTATAGCATTTATGATTATCTCACTCTTGTATTGCTCCTCTTGTTCTTCTCCTGGTTGGTTTAATTTGTTAGTATATTTATTTAGAACAAAAGATATGTATGACACACGAACACACACCTCCAACCTTGTGCCAAATAACACGCAACACTTTCTGATGGGCTTTGCAACTCTATCAGAAGAAAACATGCACAAAACGCGGCTAAGATATTTCATGTAATGCTTTATGAATTGCTTTACAATTCCCTAAAAATCAATGTTGATTCTTCTTCCTGAGAGACATACTGGACCTCATCAGTGAGAGACTGAAGAAAATTAAGAGCTGAGGGAAGATTTACACAAGGACAGGGAGGCTACCCTAAATAAAATGTCCAAAAGGACATTTAGATTGCATTTGACATGTCTTGCAGAGGAGTAAGACCACAGCTCTGCCAAAGGCAGTTCCAAAGGATTTACACATTGGTGTCACTGAATGCTTTGAAACTAGAATCTACTGTTAATCTGTGCTCTACTACTCCATTCCTCTGAAGACAAGTTTTATAAGTCTGCGCAACACCTTACCAAAAGCTTAACTTCATTTGAAAAATTGCTTAGATGCTTCTTCACTGAACTGTCTCAGCAGAGGGGTCCTAAATGTTAGTGTGGCTTCCTCTAACAGCAAACATTTAGCACAGAAAGACAACTATAAAAAGACCAGCATTTTAGAAGAATTCACCAAAAGACAAAAAATTTCTGTGCACATGCACAAACGCGCAGGTAATAACACATGTAAGTTGAGCTTCACCACTATATATAGTGGTTCTAGAAGATTCTGCTACCATACTTGCTCACAGAGAAAGAGTAAAGCTCTCAGTGAGGAAGAATTCTTCCAATTTAAACTGAGAAGTTCCAGTGCAAAGGTCCTGCCTGCAGGAGGGTATCAATAAACTAACCACAAAAATCTAACTGCAGCTAAACGAATGTTATTTGACCAATTACCAGCTGACACTCTATATATGCCTCTGTACAGTCAAGCTCCTGGAAATGAAACACAAGAATATTATTTAGCAAAAATGGACTCACTATTCTGAACAGCTCATGTGCCTGTGGAGCTCCTTCCAAGCTTAAGAGCCTGAAGTCACGCAGGGGCTCCTTGAAGCAGCATTTACCTGGTCACACACACCTAGATGACAGCACTGTTCTCATTAGGACGACAACTTCTGGTACTGACAAGTGACTCATGAAATGCTATTCCTTGCTGAAGCATCTCAGTTTTGAACGACAGGGATTGAAAAACAATGGGCTATTCAGTAGAATAATCAGCTATTTTTTTAATTGAGAATTCATATATACAGCCTGTGGAACTCTGTGCAAATGGATGCAAACAAAGAGCTTCATATATAATACAATGCCTTTTGGATTGATCTCACAGCTGCTTATATAGACACCGGCATGAATTGCTCAGTGCAGTCCCCCCCTCCCACGTCTGTTCCTGACACTAGACTGAAAAATAAGACAGTCCAGCCTGAGACTTTTTTCCTTTTTTTCTTTTCTTCCAGAGGCACCAAAGTAGGCTTGCTCAGTCACTCTGTCTTAAGACGGAGAGCCTCCCGCCGTTGCTTCTGAACAGTCCTGGAATCTTCCCACAGACGGGGTCCTCTAATGTTCTCCCAGTTATCCAAGTCAGACTTTTCCAGCTTCTGCAAACAAACAGCAAAAATAACAGCATCACCTTGACAGTCCCACGATTTCAAGTACATATTATTCCAAATGGTTTTCTTTTTTGTACAAGAAACTCAGTATCATTATTGGGTTGATGAACTTTCATCTACCCTGCAAGAGAAGTTCAACAACAAGGAAAAAAAATTTGGGAGTTATCCATACAGCTACGTAATGACTAGAGTGGGCATTACTGCATCTGCTTATCAAGATAAATAACATGTAGGACAGAGCATCTGAACACAACTGAAGATATCTTGTATTCACTTTTTCTTTCTTCTCTCAACTTGTTTTCCAAATCTGTTCTTCAACTGCAAGTCTGACAAGTGCTGAAGTAGTAGGAGTGATAAGCATTGGTATAGCTCAAACAGAAGATTAGTAATTAGTGACCTGAAGTATCCTGTCAGCACAGAAACAATGCATACTGGAAGAGATGAATTATCTAGCACAAAGAGAGACAGTAACAGTGCAATCCCCTTCAATCCATGTGGGTTTAACTCGAGAGGTATGTGATGCTTTCTGCTGCCCAGTTTCTCATGGCACCCAGCCATCACAGATAGGTCTCTCACTAAGTCGTACGTGAGATACGCTAACTGGCCAAACAATGATGCTTAAAAGCCACTTAGATTTTAATTACCTCCTTGACTATTCCCATCATCCCTACCCAGAAGTACCAGTGACTGCAGTATTTATCTAGCCTTAGTGGCACACAAAAATTAAGAACAGGTGCCCTCCTGACCTCACCCACCAAGCGCTGTAGTCGAAGATGACAAGCATGTACTGCATCCTCACAGTCCTACTGGCAGAGACATGTAAGTCCCTTCCCAGCAGACACAGCCCTCAAGTCTCACATACCAGCCTGCAGTCTGGAGCGGTACATCAAACAGGATGGGGCTCTGACAACAGGAGACTGAGGAGGGGGTCTGCACCACTGCCAGAAACAGGGCTATTCTGCATGCTACTGAAACGGGCAATACTGCATACCATTAATGATACATACTGCAGTGGGATTTAAATCTCTGATTTGTGATCAGGGCTTCATCTCAGCAAATGCTGTAAAAATACACCAGAAAATGTTTAACCCTGCCCTAAGCCTGCAGTCTAATCTGCCTGCCATCAATCAGCCAAATAAATGGCAAATACTGAAGGACTCAAATAATAGTCACAGAATAATTCAATAGCTAGAACAGAACAGACCTGCTGCTATTAGTTCATGTTATGTAAAAGTTTTTCGCCGCTTCTACAATTGAGGAAATTGCAATGAGGTTAGTCAGGTATCAAAAGAAATTAGGCAACATTCAACAGAAGATATATGAGAACACACGCACAAACACAGCAGAATTTCACAAGGTAGGAATAATTGGATTTTTTAGGCAGTGGAGTTAGCATACGCCTTTCTGAAGAATTGTCTTCACTACTTTATACATCTTATGATTAGCCAGTACTTCATTTCAACTGGAAGGGATCTGAGCTGACATGGAAGAAGGGAGAAGGAGGGAAGGTACCCATCATCCCATGCAGCAGCGACTATCCACTCCAATTGCAAATTCAGAATTTAACATCTGATTCTAAGGGAAGCTTCGAGGAAACTACACTGAAAAAGCCCTTGTGCTTTAATAGAAGGGAAGCACGCTTAAGCACAAAGGTACCACGCAGCTGCGAGGATCTAAACTACTCCTAAAGGTGCTCAGCTCCCAAAGCGTGAACAACAACCAACATTTAAAATATATACAACAAAACCTGCACTATCTAAAGATAGGCTACATAAACAAGTCTATCAAAAGAGACATGTGTATTGGAGATCTTCACCAAAAGTTCATATTAATCTGCCCCTGAAATGTCACAAAGGCTTTCCAGAGAGGAGGTCTGTCCAAAACAGGAAATATTTCAAAACCGTACAATCTAAACAAACCAGTACAAGAAAGTATTTTGGCAGTTTCCAATGGAAAGCTTACAGGTACCTAGAAAACACACTGTGATATACTGACAGAATAAAACAACCAAGGGTTATGTACAGTAAATGACATTGCCTCAAAATACAGAACAGATAAGATCTATTGACAGTTAGTTTTTGTCAATTAAAACATAAAGAATTAAAGATTCTAATGAATACATAGAGAGACTGTGTTTTTATTCTTTATTCTCATTATATTTACAGAGATCATTAATATTTTATGTCATGTATAAAGACTGTGTTTGACCCTTGCTGCAATTCAAGAAGAAAGCAGCTTCCTTACTGGCACATGACAGTATCTGCAAAACATAGTAGTTTTCGGGACAGGCCAGCTCAGTCACCAGAAGGCAGCATGATTAGACAATCTGATTTTCTAAACTGATGCTATCAAGTTTTGAAAGAATAGAGGACTCCTATTGCACGTGGATAAGCAGAAGGAGGAATATCACTGGTGAAAGGGGACCCAAAAATCTGTTCTGCAATGCTTTTCTACTGTGTAACTATTTTCACAAGCCTCCAGAGGAAAGTTCACAGGGTATTGTTTTTTACCGGTCTTATTTCCAGAATTCATCTCTATTAAAATAGTTCTGTGTGCTGGTTTTGACTGGGACAGAGTTCATTTTCTTCACAGTAGCTAGTAGGGGGCTATGTTTTGGATCTGTGCTGAAAACAGTGTTAATAATACACAGATGTTTTCATTATTCTTATAACAGTATCACCCCAGAATAAATGGCCACATTAGATGTAGGCTGAAGAGATGTACACAGCTACACTTTAAATTAATCTTAGTGCTGAGAATAAGACCAAACTGACAGTCCTTCTATCGATTAGGTGCAGCACAAGCAGCAAAGTTACACAGCTCCTTCAGACTGCTGGAGCTGTACAGTGAGAATGCAGGCAAGCAGCTAGTTCTGTGCTCAGATGAAGTCAACCTCTTTCATTCTAACTGGCTGGGTCTTTTTAATTTCTTATTTTATTTCTTTTTTCTTTTTACCCATCTAACTTCATGGAAACGTCACATAAAGATGGTAAACTACTTCCAGCTTTTACTAAATTGAAATCCATATGAACTCGCAGTCTAAACACCAAAAAAGCTTTCTCTCCCAATTCAAGCGTACTAAATAGTCCATCATTGGAGACTACAATGAAATGTAACCATATCAGACCAGCAACACTTTTCCTGCTTGTCTCAAGTAGCACAAAGAATATTGAAAATTAGCTGTTAAAAGTGACATCAGCGTAGTCCATTATATCTACTGATCCACTTCCTAAATCAGCTAAACTGCCTCTTAAAAGTAAAGGGCTGACAGAAGCTGTAAATTCAAGGAATAAAAAAAATGCAGCTATGCAGACATGCACAGTGAACAAAAAAACCCCATGTTCAACTGTTTGCCACACACTTGACTTTTAAGACCTTCGTTAAACAGCTTGCCTGGCACAAAGGTACTAAAGATATAAAGACACCTTCACTTGTTAATTGCTGTTCAAATGCCTGGCTTGACATTAAGGAAAAGCCACAATCCTTTGTCAGCCCTAAAATAAAACAAAGTTTTAAAAAAAGAGTTTGAATTCTACTCTTACAGGGTAGCTTTCATGCCACAATAAACAAACTGAAATCTGCAGAAATTAATTTAGAGCTACTGCTGCTCAGTCTGAGTTAATTCAAGGTGGTCACTTGCAAAAAATGTTTGGCTTTGGTCTCTGCTTCCCACATGTGAAAGGAGGGATAAGGAAATCCTGCTTACTTTACAGCTTGATGCAATAAATTCTATGATGAGCACCATCGAAAGAAATTGCTCTAATTCAGAGACACAATTATTTCCCATCATTATAGTAAGCAAACCCATTTGCAGATAAAAGACGAGCCACGGAAGAATATCCTCATGGCTGAAAGACGCAGTGAAAGCAATGCATTAAACCAGTCTGGTTTTGCAAGGGTGTCAAAACAGCCTGACGACCATAAAAGATACATTGAGGAACATTATGATGACGTACAGATGCAGAGGTACAGATTTAAGGCTAACACTGAATCTGCTGTTGTGTGTGACTGAAAAATCTTAACTTTATCTTCATGCTGACACAGCCTTACTGGGTTTTTTAACAA